TTAAAATTTTTATCTGATATTAAAAATTATTTTTAAAAGTTGCAAGCAAATTTGGCTGCAATACAATTTAAGGGATATTGTTAGCTAATTAGAAATATCAAATAAATCTTGTTTTTAACTTGTTTGTTCTAAAGAATTTGGAGTACTATATTTGAGAGTATCTCTTTCATAGATATTTTGATATGATTTTCTTTTTCTTTGCTTAGAAATATCTTTTAGCTCTTTTTGTATTTACTGTTCCTTTTCTGCTTTGCTTTTCTTATTTCTAGTTTCATTTAGAGCTTTCCTTTTTGGTTTAGCTTCTAAGTTTATTTTTTGAGGTATTATTAAGATGAGTTTAAGTTTTTCATATTTTTTTTTTAGATTTTCTAATCTTGTTCTAGCTTCCTCAAATCTTTTTTTACAGTTAAAAGTAATTACATACTATTAATTACCTTTTGCAAATTTTTCTGTAATATCCTTCATATATGTATTCTCTCTTAATAGCTATTTTAGTGATTTGATTCTATGCTTGAAGCTATTTTCAAAAACATTTATTGCTACTACTTTAGCAGTAATAACTTCTATATATTTGCATCTTTCTTTTTTAGATACCTAAATACTTTTTTCTAAAGTGATACTTTTGTAGTTTTCAGAATCTGAATTTGATACCTTTTCTAATATCTTTTTAGATTTAGTTCTATTAAAGACTAAGTTTTCTATATCTTCTGTTGTTCTAATATCTTCTATTACTTTTGTTATTTCTATAGAAGCATTGTTTGCTATTAGTCCTTTAGTTTTTATATTTATATTTGCTTTGCTATTGAGTATACTAAGTAAACTAATTAGAGCTAATAGCTCTAATTCTATATTCATTGATACTACTTCTATCTCTATTTTTTCCTTGTTTGATACTTTTCTGTTTTCTATTCTGTCTTGCCTTAAAATACTAATAACTTTATCAAAACCTTTTAATATTACTGCTTTTTTGATTATTGCATACTATAGTCTTGCTATTTTGACTATCTCTAAGTCTAATCCTATAAACTTTGCTATTATTTTATCTAGATGCTCTTCTAATCCTAGTACTGATTTGCTACTATCTATTACTATCTCATCTCTATACTTTTGTATAATTTCTTGTATTAGCTTTCTAGTCTTGTCTTTATTTCATATTTTTGTAAATTACTATTTCTTCTTATATCTAGAGTATTTTAACTTTTACCTAATAAAAATTTTGAAAAATTCTATATACTTTTATTGAAAACCCTCAGAAGTTGTTTAGTTCTAAGTTAGTATCTATTCTTTAGTTTGTTGCTATTATATGTTGACTTGTTTATCATATATTGTTTGTTTATATTTCTTGTTTATAACTATACATATTAATAACTTGATATCCTATTTTGTATGATTTTTTTTTTTTTTTTTTTTTTTTTTTTGTTATTAAGGTAGCTTACATTGCCAAGTGAATTTTATTAGTTTGATATATAAGGTCCTACATAAGGTTCTCCTACAGTTTGTAATTACATGAAGAGTGTACAACAAACTACATGTATAACTTTAGTCATTGTCTAATTTAAGTAATCTGCTATGTAAACATTAGACTACCTGTTAGTACTACACTATGCTACCATACCTGTAACCTGCCTGTGAGTTACCTGTTTAAATACTCTGTTCAACTAACCCATACTATTACAAACTAATGTTACTATAACATCTAACCACTTGGTCATATCTTCGATCAAATTTAGTACGTAAAATTTGTAAACAAACATGTGATTATCCATGGTTAATGGTAATAAATTAACTAATTTACTCAAATAAATAGACTTTAGGTATTTCCGCAGATTTTATGTTAATTTACTAATAATGCTATGGGAGGCAATTATTTCACTGACACTCATTTTACTGACTGTCATTTCACCGACATTTTAGCCCGATTTAGGGTTAGCGTTAGGGTTTAGCCAGTTTTATATTTTCGGTGAAATTATTGTCGGTGAAATAACATGAACCCGAATGCTATAACTTTTTCTAAATTCTATTGTCTGATAAATATTCCTTGCCACATCATGAGTACTGTAATTCATTTATAAATTAATGATATATAAAGATTTTTAATTTTCAAAAACTATTAGGAATTTATACTAGAATTTAAAAGGAAACTTGATCGAAAGGTTAATATTCTATTATTTGAAGTTTTATTTTGTGATATGAAAAATCCTTACTTTTGTAATATTTTTCACTTATCTGTTGTAGTGTACATTTCGATATAACTATTAACCTAACATATCAATTTATTCAACATACCATGCTTAGTCACTAAATCAACTTTTAGGTTCTTAGTTTTAATAATTTATAGCATTGATTTAACAATTTAATTAGTTTTTGAGTTCGAAACTATTGACAGAAAATGGGACATATTTGGGTTTTGGTTATTATCCCAAACAAAGTATAAATCCCGATTCCTAAACCCAAACTATGTAGTAATGTCATGATTTTTTTTTTAAAAAAAAAAGATTTGGGTCGCAACCTTAATCCCCATCAGTAATAGTGACACTCTTTCCTTTGCCCTTTTTATTTTTAACATCATTTGCATTTGTATTACTTAATGAATCTACGGTAGAATTGGCTGAATTCGTATTCTCTGAAAATTGTGTATTTGTGTTCGTCTCAGAAGATAGGTTTCCATCTGTCGTACGTATTTCGGACACTGGAACTTCAGGTAGTACGCTTACAACTTGCGTTAGCATACTGATAGCATTATATATATGCACTTGAGTATCCTGTAATATTCGTAGCCTTTCAACAAGTGCCTCACGTGATGTCGTTTCTAGGAGACGGATTTGATCTTCTGATAAATTATTAAGTGTATTAGTTTCCACATTGGTGGTACCATTATCTCTCAAAGGTAAAACAGGGAAAAGAGGTATTAAACCAGGTGGAACGTGCAGAGGGAATTGTGAGACATAAGGTTGATAGCCTATCGATGATGGTTGAGAAGAATTTAATTGCCTAAATGATGTTGAAACATTTGGGTCCCATGGCCATCTAGGCATCATAGATGGGGGTTGCCTTCTCTCGGGATTAGTTGTTGTTTGTGCACCAGACGTTGGAGCAGAATCTTCCTATACACAAAAAAAAAGTCGTAATATCAAATATCAATATTGCAATAATTGAAATGTGGTAACTATTATATACAATTAGGGTTTGGCATTTTTTAGGTTACATTAATTGAACAAATGTAAATTCACATCAAGAATTTACATTTACCCAACCCTATGTACTGTACCTCATTTAACGGTCGATCTCCTGGGTTTATGACATTAGGCGTGTTAAGTTGTGTATTGTTTTGTAAATTTTGAGTTGTACTTTGGTGCGCAGATTGTTGTGTATTTTGACCTGACGCAGTATTTGCCTGTCCGTCAACATTACGTTCATTCACGTTAGCAAGGGGATTAGGCGGGCCATGCCATTGTCCGTGCATTCCCGGAGGTGGAAACAATGTCACTGGAGGGAATCCTGGAATGGGATTTGCAAGGAATCCAGGAGGATTCGCGAAAGGAATTCCAGGTAATTGTGGTTGAGGCTGAGGAGGTTGTGGACCATTATTGTGTCGAGCTGGAATAGGACGTGGTTGTGGCTGAGTGGGAGTAGGTTGTTCTTCGAATAATAACCATAATAATTAGAATGAAAATGCCGTTATATAATATATGTACAGACAGTGATTACTTAAAGGACTGAACGATCTTTTATATAATGATATGTGTAATAATTTTTATTGGGTGCGCCATAATCATTTAATGAAATCGTTCGGCCTTTGGTTATCACTATCTGTATTGCAGTCTGGGCTTGATTTAAAATGAGATAAAGAAATATAGTAAAACTAGAAGCTCCATTATTTTAAGAGATTCGTTAAAATGTAGCTAATATATATATTTTCTTGTGAAAAGGGCCATTAGAACAAGATATTAATTAATGATCGTTAATCAAGCCCTGACAGTATATATTATAAAGAGTAGTTTTGGCACTTACGTTCAGATAAAACGGGTCTACGACTTTTTTTTTTATGATAATATATAAAATTAAATAATACTGCATAATGAAACGCATGAAGCAAGGAATAAATTTGCCTACCAAGTGGGACAACTCTGTTGTCTTTCTAGCCAACTACGCAAGCAATGAAAATGGAATATATGGCCACAAGGTAATTTTTTAGGAACGTCCGCTAGTCCATTATTTCCTTGCCTAGCTTGAGGTCTCCCATCGATATCTTCCTGTACTGCGTTATTATTATTAATTATAGCAGCAGCAACCATTTCCTCCCTACATATTATGCAAGTTCGATCGCTTAATCGCTCAAGTTCATCATTGGTTGCATTAGGATAACGTTCATTCATATTCCTAGTAGCACGACGATATCGAACAAGATCGCCACATTTTTGGAGAAAAGAGCGAAGCGTAACGTATACATCACGAATAATATGTAGAGGTATGCCATAGGACACGAGAATGATTGCAAAAAAGATAAGATAGGTGATCAATTTAAAGAAATCTAAACAAATTTCAAAATGTAATTAATAATTAAAATATATTATAAGTATATATATTAAAAAATTTACCAGTCACAAGTTCCAGATAGAAAACATATATTGATTTATTCTCCCATGGATCTTCACGTCTCATATCAATAACATTCAAGATATATTTAAATATTGTGGATATAATTGTAGCGCCAAGAATAGAGTACTGTTTTTGAAATAAAAAATTAAAATGACGTGTTTGTTTAATATATCAATAACATAGTTAATTATAAATATATTATATAACAGCAAATAACACAGACTAACTTCAAATGCAAACATAATCATCATGTTTGGGCCATTCTTAAGTGTGACGTCAACAGCGTGGTAAACTAGATATATGTCGATAGCACATAAAATTTCCATTAAAGAGACAATTCGAACATGAAAAGATATCGGCACCGCCGGTGATTGTTCCATCTAGCATTATGCATAATAGTAAAGGAGTTTTTGTTAAAAATATTGAATTGCTATAAAAATATGGCTTTTAAAAGATTATACTTACGAATTCTACCCGATCTTGACATAGCCAATGAAAGATTTTTAGAAATAATAAAGTTGTAAATGTTACGACAAATCGAGTGTCGAATTCGTCTCTGAATATGGTCATAGCCAAACATGTCTCCGTAACGGCATACCAGGACCTCTCATACAAATGCTAATTCACGGAAATTGTCAAAAATAAGTACAATTCAGAAATATAAAATAGAAATAAAAGCGTACCTCAATTTCTACAGCGCGTAATCGCCCAAAAAATATTGTTTGAAGTATTTGTCCAAATATAATCGTAAGAAAAAATCCCATGTTCATAAGGATCTACCAGGAACGAATAATAAATTAGCTTATAATATCAAGATCGAATCCAGATCTGGTTATGACGCGAAACACAAGTACTAATTTCCGAACTCACGACATTCAGTGAGCTGTAAGTGTTTTAAACGACGGGGTACTCTCACAGTACACCCACAGTATACCAAAACTAACAAATTAATCTGAAGCTTACCATCATACATGCGCTAGATTTCGATAAGTAAATGCACGCTGCATAGAAATTGCTTCTTTGGCGAAAGGCCGCCGCTATAACCGAAAAGGACAAGAAAGTACTAACCCCACCATAAACCGCTAGTCGTACCATTTTTATAAATGATTGTAAATCTGTCACCTCGAATTTATTACTAAAGAAATAATGCTCTGATATATTATGTATATTAATGAAATATTTGAAATAACTTCGACAAAGCCATCAATTAATTATAATCGGTTTAAAATACGTGCTTGAAAAAGTCAGATTTATACTTTACCTGTTTATTTTATGCCACGTAGTAACACAACGTATTCTCGCACAAGTGGCTCATCTGTGGATACTTATGTCGTATCGGTATATAATATCTAACGCTAATGATTAGTGACGGAATTACATTGTATTATATAGTTATTTACATACCGGATATAGTAACTATTATCGTTAGGTTTGTAAAATTAATTTTATTTGTATCATATTTTACACAAGGATAAATCTATTTGTAACTCGGAAAGTTTTGGTCGGAAAAATCAAGATCGGTTGAGCTTGCTAGAGGCACGGTGTCCCAAGGCATGCCTCAGGGGCATGCCCTTTGGCTAAAAGGCATGCCCCTACTCTTTTATATAGAAAAACTTTACATATGAAGTTTCGTTGATTTGATTGGTCAATTATCATAGTTGATTTGACATAACGATAATAATCTAGAGAGGGCATGCCCAAAAAATTTTCCGTGCCCCCAACCCTAGCTACAGTTGTAAAATAGAAATCAAAACAAACTTAACGTTAACTTACGTCTTGATAAAAAACTTACTTCTTTTTTTATTTAAACCTCACGTAGCATTAAGACTAGTGGCTTTTTCTATTTGTGAATATGCTTTTTTTTATTCTTAATTTATTATTTCTCTTGTTAAAAAACTTTGTTTATGAACTTTCGACCCTACTAGACCCAACTAAGCCCTAGGTACACTTATAAAAATTAAAATATTTTACCAGTGTCATGACAGATCGATCAGACTAAAATTCAAAATATTGAGAATTTTTCATCTTGTCTTGTTTTGGCATTTCCAGCGAAGTGTAAGTTTATATTTATTAGTTTACTTCGGTGCTACGGAATTTAAAATTTTTATTTAAAATTTACTTTGCTTTCATGTTATTAATATTTTAAATAACCTTTTAATTCTTACTAGCTTTTTTTTTTTTTCTTTAAATTTCTTCTAGGCTTTTAATAATCACATTCACGACCTTACGATTTGTCGATTTTACTTGTGATATAAGGTAAATTATTTTACTGAGTATTAATGCTTAGTACGCGCGTGTGCAAGTTACACTGCGGTACCGCAAGGTACTGTGTAGACACATGCGTTCTGAAACCGATACAGCCGAAGTAGTCTAGGAAGATAAGGTTATACTTAGGACTGATTAGGAGGGTACAGGTGATATGTTTTTACATGGAGTATGCTAATATGTATACGTCGATATGTTTTACATGGAGTATGCTATTAGTATATGTTGATACAGTATGTATTTACGTGTCTAGTATGCATGTGTGAAAGTTACGCTGCGGTATCTCGGTACCGTGTAGACACATGCGCTCCGAAGCAGATAACCAATTTATCAATCTAGATGGGAAGGTTGCCTTAGGGGCTAAGAAGATACGATGATGCATACAATGTACTCAATTTTGTCCTTTTTTTTTTTTTTTTTTTTTTAGAAAAAAAAAATCGTTAAGAAATTTGAACGGATAGCGTGAAAAAAATTTCGTCGAATTTCATTAGATGGTTATCGAGATATCTTCGTTTAAAGATTTTGAAATTTGATGAACAAAAAAAATCACTGTATTACTATTTTAATATAAATAAACGTAAAAGTATCAGTAGGTTTTTACATATTCGCGAAGATTTAAATGCTTATATTTCGTGATCTAATGAACAAATTTTAGCGATTATGGTACCATTAGAAATAATGGCCTCTACAACTTTAGTTAGAGGCTAAAATCGCTTTCCCTTAATAAAATATTTAGCAATTATTACTCAAACTTTAAATTTTTGGTAGGTGCAAAAATGAACAGACTTTCCGTTCTCAAGAAACCCTCAATGTGATCAAGATCGTGCACAAGCATTACAAATAATTCTTATCGCAATTTTGTAGAAGACTCATGGTGCGGAATGCAGATATTATAGGCGTTCTCAAGCAGCTCCCTCAATGTGATTTGAAAGTAATCTGAGACGTTGCTCAATCATTGCTATTAATTGAAGCGGCTATATTACGATTAAATGGTAACGATATGCTAAAAATTCATTGTGCGAATTGCGGATTTTAAATTTAACCAATCAGAGCAAACTCTGAGATAACTCTTGAAAACATCGTCATTAATATTGATACAAACTGAACTCGCAAAAAATAAAAATGTTATACGGCCGATGCTGATGTTTTAAAACATTGTATTAAAACAGTTTAAAAAACATAAAAATCATTAAAAAACGTTTTTTACCATCCCGACCATCTTTTTTAGGAACTCACTTGATCGGCTAAATTATTTTCCACTAATTTAATTGCAATAACGATAACTATAATGATTGTATTAAAAAAAACCGAATTAATACTTCATACACGTGATACAATGGTTTAGTTAATGCAGTGTTAACACTGGCGAATCAGCTTTTTTACTGCGTCAGCTCTGACAAAACTAGCATAAAAAGAATATAACCGATAACATTTTCTTGATAAAATCCTTGATTCGACGAACAATAATGGTATCCGCATTTGAGTTTTAGTGATATAAGAAATAAGGAAGACTGCCAAAATATAACCTTTGATATATTAGACGTTTAAAAACACAATAAGGTTATTTCGGCTACAAGGATTATTTAAAATGTCTTTTATTTTTAGCTCTTTGCGGGATACCCTATACTCGGTTACCTCCTGTTGTTTCCCAAATCCGACACTGCAAATAAATCGTCGAACTTTTAAGGTGATCAAATTGCTTGGTGAAGGGTAATTTATTTTCTCGTTATCTAAGACTTATATCTTATTGCTTGTTTGGGTGTTACATTTTTTTTGTTTTTTTTTTTTTTAGGGGATTTTCGTTTGTTTATCTGGTGCAGGATGCCAGCACTGGACGATTTTTCGCCCTTAAGCAGATTAGATGCCCATTCGGAGATGATTCTGTAAAAGATGCAATGAGGGAGGTTGATATGTATCGATTATTTCAGCACGAGAACATCATAAAAGTTATTGTATGTTGGATCATTAAATTTTTTTTAAATCAACTTATACGTACTAATTTCTTAATTCATATATTAATTATGGTTCGTTCCTTTCATATAAGGATTCATGCGTTGTCCCAGATAAAGACAATAGTAAAATAGTGTATATATTTTTACCCTACTATAAGGTTTGTTAATATTTTATTGTTAAATGTAATTAATAATAACCAAAGCTCATGTTTTTGTCTTAACGTTGTTAAATTTTATTATATGCAATTAGAATGGAAACCTTCAAGACGCTATTAATAATCATTCGTTACAGGGCTCGCATTTTCCTGAGAAAGATATGCTAAAAATATTCCGAGGAATTTGCTATGCTGTTCGAGCACTACATAATTACAAACTTCCTAATGTTAGAACGGAATATAATAATATAGTTGGAACACAACCTCCAATTGAAGATAATATTGTACCATTTGCACACAGAGATATCAAACCTGGGTTTGTACTCTTTTGTTACCACTTTTTAATTGTTGTATATCACATTGAGAATTTAGTTAGTAATTAGGTATTTCATTTTATATAGTAATATCTTACTGGACGATGACCAAACTCCTATCTTGATGGATTTTGGCTCTTTAGTTCGGGCACGAATAAAGGTTGATAACCGAAGCAAAGCTTTGACGGAACAAGATTTAGCTGCAGAAAATTCTACTATCTCTTATCGCGCTCCAGAATTATTTGATGTTAAAACTAATATTGAGTTGAATGAGAAAGTCGATATTTGGGTAATAAATAAGTAGATAAAATAACCCTTTTTGTTATAGTTTTTTATCTAATATTTTGTATTGTTTTTATCAAGTCATTGGGATGTACACTCTATGCCATGGCCTACGGAAAATCACCTTTCGAGAATAATATTAATGAACATGGCGGATCGATAGCATTAGCAGTTCTTAATAATCAATTTAAGTTCCCAACTATTGAAAACGATAGGTACGAAATTAGTTTTATTTTTGCTCTTTTATACTATTTATTCTTAAACTATTTATTCTTAAGTACTGATTTGACTATTATGGATGTTTTTTTTTTTTTTTTTTTTTTTTATAACCAGTTACTCCCAAGATTTTAGAGATTTGATTAGCTTTTTGTTAGTGGTAGATCCAAAAGATCGGCCTAATATTCATCAGGTACGGGATTTAATATATAAAAGTAATTAATTAAATCATATATTTACCGTTTTTTCATCTGATAGGTGATAGAAAGAATTAACTTATTTATTGGATCGGATTCTTAGAAACAATGGTATAAATATTAAAAAAACGAAGTTGCATTATTATTCAGTGACATTTTTATACAATTATTCCCTCTTTTTTTTTGGGTTGGATTTACTCTTCATATTGGTTGACACATCAGTATTTATATATTCTACTAACCTTAAGTCGGAAAAGGGTTATTTATTATTTATATAAGTCGAGTTTATCAGTTGCATTCAATTTAAAACGTTGAATTTACCGGATCTATGGCCGTTCAATAACTTCTTTATTTTATTTATAATAAATATGGGGATAATTTAAGTCACTATACATGATTATTATTATTTTGACAAATCAGTTTATTTTATTTACAATAAAGTGTTATAAAAGATTTGTTTATTATATATAACATTGAGTTACTATTTTACTTCTATTGATAGCCTCTTGGCACGAAATTTGATTGGCTTTATGGGATGCGGTTATGTCGTAAGATAGTGGATACGGTGACCATCATCATAATTATTGTTGATTTTTAAATAAAATTATATATATATTATATATATATATAAAAATAGTTATTAATTTTATTATATAAAATCAACTATTTTTATTTAGTAGAATAATTTTAATTTCTATATTACTTGTTTGAAATTTTGCGAATAAATTTTGATAATTATTATGTACAAAATTGTTTTTTTTTTTTAACATTAACAATTAAATATGAAAAATTAATTTTTTTTTTTTTATAAATATGTTAATCAAGATTCTAAAATATTAGATATATTTATTTTATTGCTAGTTAATATAACAAATTTAATATTTTACTATAACTATAAAAGATTAATATTCTGTATCATCCTTTATGAAACAGCCCATATTTTAAATTTATTATTATATTATGTAAGCGATGTAATTTATATAAAGCGATAATTATATTTGCAAGTGACATCAGCTACATTTTTTTTATAGGATTGTTATAAGGGTTATAAACCCGTTTTCACCTGGATACCTGATTTCAAAACGCAGGTGACCTGGTGATAAATTTGCATCCGGTTCGGAGCTCTAATAAACCGATTAGATTTTCACCGAGTATAAGGATGATAATTATGCTGTCCTCGAACGTTGTGACTGCTGTACAATGCACCAGTGCTACCCGCATTCATCGACGAATAAGAGCGTGTAGGACCGCTTCGTGAGTTGCCACCTCGACTACCATACATAGGAGAACCTTGGTGATGATGATGATGATCTCGACCATAACCATCATCACGTCCAGGGGAATGGCGATGATATCCACTAAGACGACTGCTAGAACTTGGGCCACCTAACGCAGAAGCACCTCCAGCCGAAGATGGACCTGATCCATAACTGTCACGCCCATACCATTGACCATATGATCCACCACGGCTTCCAGATCCGCCGTAACTGCCACTTCCGCTACCGTACTGACTGCCGTAATTTCCGTATCTATATAAATTATAATTTAGTTAATTGGTTAATTGATGATAAATATTATCTTAGAAAAGTAATATTAATTAATTACCTTGAGGAATAATATGCGTGAGTCATTGCACTATAAGCATATCCGCTAGGATAATTATTTCCGTAACTATAGTTGGAATATTGACCGTAACCGCCGTAACTAATAGATTAAATAATGTTTCGTACTTGAATGCCTTCATTCTAACACTACCAAAAAACTCCATAAGATCCGTACCTGTTATTAGCTGAACTAGCCGGTGATGTCATCATCCCTGCTGCAGACGCAGATGATGATGATCCATAACTTTGTTGACTGTACAATGTTTGTACACGTTGTGATTTATGTTTAGGCATCGCACGTTTCACTTCAATCTAAATATAAATAATATAGTTATATATGGGATATATTATTATATATTTGAAAAAGACTAATAATAAACAAGACATTACCTGTTTATTACGGATTTCCAAATCCTGTCGATTCATCGCTTTTTCTACAGGTTCGGAGGAATCAAATGTGATAAAACCAAATCCGCGAGGTCTGCCAGTGTCACGGTCAACCATGAGAGTGGCATCAATAACATGACCAAATTGCAAGAAATATTCCTTAAACTCTTCTTCTGTAACTTCAGGTGCAATACCTCCCACAAAGATTTTTTCTGTTTTTTCTTGTTCTTCGCGAGGAATAGCACGTTTTGGATCAATCTAAATATCATGAGCAATAATATTTGGAAAATCAAAATATGATTCAATGAAGTACATCAATTTATAAGAGCCATTTGAGTTTTATTCGCCTATTAATTTTTGGACATCTTGATATCTCTCTGTTGCCTCCTTATATAATGGAGATATTTGTAGGCTATAAAATCTAAATATCTCATGTCGACCACTTACAATTTTACCATCCAGTTGATGTTCCTTAACCAATACGGTATTGACGACGGTCGGATCTACAAATGTCAAAAACCCAAAACCACGAGACCTCGATGTATTTGGATCTCTCATAACTATGCAATCCGTTACTTCACCGAATTGTGAAAAGTATGTTTTAAGGCTCTCTATTATAAAAAAGATTATTTTATGTGTAAATTATTTGATGGATGTATAATTTAGGTTTATGGTGCAGGGTAGAAATAACAAATATGAATTATGACAAAATAATATGGGCATTTTAAAACGTTGAATGAAACAATCACGGATCAAGTTGATAAAAAAGAATCGGTGAAATAACGAACAAGCTGTGCTTTGAATTAATTTATCACAATTTTATGAAATTGACCAGTCCCCTCCAACAAAGAAACAAGCAGAAGATTTAGATAGCTAAATTTTTTCTCTCTTTATAATATATATATATATATATTCTTTAATAATTTTTTTTTTTTTCTTCTTTGACAAGTACAGGAAGAGATCAAGATGAATCTAACGACAACTTCGTTGAACAGTCTTATGTACATTATATAGAGAGAGAGGGAGAAGAGAGACCAAGCACAGGGACGTAATTTAAAAAAGCTATGGTTGACTAAAATATCTTACCATCTGTTGTTTCCCAATTAAGACCTCCTATGAACATCTTTCTACAGTAGTCAAAGTGATACGATTATGGTAAAGGAATATAGTAGATAGATAGATGTATTCGATTTATATAGTAGTAAATTATATATAAAGTGTAAAGGGTTTTTGGGAAAAAAGAGAAACCTATTAGTTGTATTTTACTTAATGCTAAATAAAGAAATAGTAAACCTAGCCTGAAAAAATTATTTTCTTTTATTCCTCTATCAAAGTCTATCTTTTCTCCCTCTCTCTAATGAATATTTAATGAGGATTTGATGACCTTTGTATCTATATTAAGTGTTTATTGAAACTGATATTCTGGATTTCCCTTATCAAAATATTGCCCTTACGCTTAATTCCCACACAAACCAATATGCCAACAAAACATCCCCAACTTTTAACTCCCATACTAGCTTCAGCTTCGTAATAGCGATCTTGCAACTGAACAACGTCATAAAAGTTGCTGGCAATATAAAAAAAAAAAAAAAAAAAAAAAGGGAGGCAAAAAAGCCCAAAATCCACAGGCAAATACAAACGAATAGAGAAACAAAAGCAGACTAAATATAAAGAAAAATACTGTAAGATACTTTACCCTTCATCGTGGGGGGGTTTTCCTCCTTCTTCTTTTTTATCAGAATCCTGAGCAGATCGCCCGTCTTGCTTAGGATCAGATGATTGGCGGGATGACGCACTTTCGGCTGCCATTATAAATGTGTAGCTTTACTATTTACTTTTACGATCGTCCTGTATAGAATAAATAAGCGACCCTCTATAAAAGAATTATAAACTTTATAATAGTGAAGAAAAATGGTTTACCAATAGAACTAACTACTAACAAAAAGACTAGTGAGGTATAAATGTTTCCATGTATTAGTTTTTGTTTATATTTTATCCTTTTGTATATCGATGTGCCATGACTAAGCAGACCTTGAGATCAGCATTTGAGCATTTGGTAGTAATTCCTGCGGAATAATTCACATAAAAATTCGCACGTGACGATACCATCTTTTACGAATGCTGGAGTGTGAATATATTTGATAACGATTACACATTATCAGTGAATAATGTCTATAGTAACTGTTTTTGTTCAAAGTGATAACGCGTCTTCGGAAAGGCGTTTTGATAAAGGTATCAGCATTAGTCAATTGAAAGTAATATACATACTTTATTACCTTTTTGCAACTTGCGCCTTTTTCAAGTTAAAGATTCATTTCTTCGCTTCTAGACAAAACTCGAACCTATTACCGGGATACCAGCAGAATCGCAGTTGCTACAATTATATAATGGTGATACTCTGGTCACCTCTGTCGAAGGTGATGATTATATGCTAGGCGCCTTTCCTGTCGATAATTTTATGACGTTAAAGGTTTTAATTCATTATTCAATGGTGATGGATTATTCAATGAATATCAAGCCTAACTATAATCATGATTCAATAAGGTTATTGACACCAATCCTAGCAATCATAGAAATCAATATAATGATTTGTCACTTGTGGAAAAATATGAATTACCGGAAGAAGAATATGCGAAACGCACAGGAAAGTAGTCATACATAATAATCATTATCTCACTTGTCACTCGAATAATCTCTTGTCTTGTAAATTATAGATTCAGTCCTTGCTTTTAAGCAACGTAACAAACTTGGCCGGTTCTCTGATGCTCTTTCTCAAACCTCTGATTCATATACTTTTGAGGAAGAGGCAAAAAATATTAAAGTTGGAGATCGTTGTGAAGTAGATTTTGGTGATGCTGAAGGGTTAAAGCGCCGAGGAACTGTCAAATACGTTGGTCAGTAAAAAAAAAAAAAAAAAAAGTATTTATTTAATCCTTGATGTCCTCAACTAAACCACTTTTTTGTTAAAATTTTAAGGTGAAACTAAATTTAAACCAGGTTATTGGGTTGGTGTACAATATGATGAGCCAGTTGGAAAACATGATGGTACTGTTCAAGGCGAACAATATTTTTCATGTCCTGCTAAGTATGGTGCGTTCGTTAGGCCAAATAAAGTGAAAATAGGCGATTATCCAGAAGAAGAATTCGAAGAAATGTAATTTTTAATATAAGTAAAAGTTTTAATTGTATTAATGCTAGAGAAAGAATTTCTGGATAATAATTTTATTTAAAATTATTATTTATCCTATAAAAATGATTCGAGGTGCGGTAATTCATAGATTGAATTATAATACAAAATAGCAATTAATTTTGACTTATTAAAGTTTTATTGAAATTAATTTAATTTATAATTTATTTAATTAATTTAAGAAGTGTTTAATTGTAACGGCTGTTCCACATCCAGAAGTTGTAGAAACCCAAATAATATTTACTAAGCTTCGTATGCCTCTAATTTTGCGTAATGTCAAAAATACTTTTTGACAGTAATCTATATTAAAGTTAAAATCCCAAATTATGTAAAAATTTAACATCGAGGTACATCTTATATAAAATTCATGGTTTCATAAATTTGCTATTGGTATTGTACTTTCAAAATAATGGACCATCAATAATTTAAGTGGAATATAGGTCTAAATAGTAAATGTTGTGCGTTATATCAAAATTTAAATATGGAGATTCACTAGAGTTAGGGTTAGAGTGGTTGTAAAGATGCGTACAACTTATACTTTTGAGCGAGTCTAGTCGACTCAAGGCTTGGTTTATTAATAGTTTTTAATAATTCTATTAACTTTAAAGTCTGTTTTTTAATGTAGTAAAACTTTTTTTATTTTATTTATTTTTATGCTAGAGTGTGTTTTTTTTATTAAGGTTAAAAAGAAAATAATTACAAATTGAAGTTGATAAATTTTAAGAAGCTACAGCTAAAAGGCTATTTGTTTCTAAGTGAAAGTGTTTTTTGTAAAATTTTAAGTTCTTTTCTAAATCTAATTTTGGTAATATTATCTATTATTTCTCTACTAATAATTGTATTATCTTATTTGGCTTATGTATACTAATATCAGATTTTATACAGAGTACTTATATGGATCCAGAAAGCAGTTTTTTTTTTTTTTTTTTTTTTTTTTTTGTGTTAAAGGTAGTTTACATTGCTAAGAAATTTTATTAGTGTTGCAAATAGGATTATACATAGATAATTTCTACTATTTATAATTATATGAAAAGTATATAACAAGTCATACATATAACTTTAGTTATTGTTTATTTTAAGTAGTTCACTGCACAGATGTTAGATTATTCAATTGGTTTTATACTATGTTATTATATCTGTAACCTATCTGTGAGTTATCTATTTAAACACTCTGTTTGTTAACCTATATAGATCTAATCTAATATCATCACAATATTTAATCACTTAAGTTAGCTAGCTTGTTATAGATTTATTTATTTAGAATAGTTTAGATTCTTTTAGAATATATTATACTAAATATATTGCTAGTATTGCAGAGCTAGTTAATCTTGAAACAAACCTACTAGAGTAGTTCATATTTATTTTACAAATTCACTTAGCTTAGATCTTTATAGATGTTTGTATAATTTTAGATTCTACTATAGTTCTTTACTAGTCAGTTGATTTAATTCTTTTCTAGTATCTAGTTAGTTTTAGTTATTTTTCATTTCAAGATCTCAAAATTTTCTACTTTTATTAGACTGAGTTTTCTTCTCAGATTAAACTTTAACTAATGTAGTCCTGTCAGAAGGCTATACTACTTCACTACCTTAGGATTTTTACTATACAGATCTCCTGCTCATATATCTTATTTTTTTTTTTTACCTTTAGCAATCATGCTAATACTTTATTAAATCTTTGAAACTATATAGATTTCAATAAGTTTAACTAATTTCTTAAGTTTAGTATTACCCAATTCTTATATAGAGCCTAAGTATGACTTGTTACACTATCTATATCAGAGATAGACTGCCTCGTCTGACTGCTACCCTACAATAGGATACTACCAATTTGATGATATTTTCTCGTAGAGAAGCAAAAAACAAAAAAAATTTTAAGTAAAAGAAAAAACAAAAAGAGGTAAAAGATAAAAGATACACCAAAAGATCTATATTCATACTACATCTATTTTGGGAAAGTCATGTTGTATGCTACCAAACAACAACAACTCGCAAACATGTGTAGCTATGTGCTACAAGTTAACATTTGTTGACATCTTCGTTAGAGGATTACATGAAGCTGTACTCTGTTGGACGAGTAAGAAATAGACTTGATAGAATTAGTTGACATCACAGAGATATATACATGAGTAGCAACAGTATATATAATTTTTAATAGTAGTGCTTGCCTTTGAGCTTGCTTTTGGATGGAACTACTTTGGGTTTTTCTTTTCCTTTTTTCTTTTTACGTCAAAAAGAAAATTTCTGTTCATTTTATTTTCCTTTTTGTTTGTTTTTGTCTATACTTAGATAGCAAGCTTTTTACTTGTTAGCAAGTTTTTCTTGCTATTCTAGCTTAAGTTCTTATAGCATGTAGTATTTT